AATTTTTCTAACCCATGTAGGCTTGGAATCTTCGACCCTTTGATCTCGTTTTGCTCATTATATTTTCTTCAGTTCTATGCTTGTATCTTTTGCTATTTGTGCACTTTATAGGAGCGCAGAATAAAAAGGCAGGAGCGGAAAGTTCGTGAAGATTTCACCAAGTTCCTTCAAGAGCTGCATAAGAAAGGTATACCATATCCTTTTGGTGATTTTAGTTTGATAGTATCCGATCGAACAATTTATAGGTGAACTGACGTCAATGTCACTCTGGTCGTCACTGTACCCTGCCATTTCTTCTGATCCGAGATTTGATGCGATGCTTACGCAAGATGGTAATTTGGATAGTTTCATGTAAAAGCATCCCATTTAATGATTTATTTGCAGGCTCAACACCTCTCGATTTGTTCAAATTCTATGTGGAGGATTTGAAAGAGCAATATGGACAAGATCGACGAGTTATCAAGGATATATTGAATGATCAAAAGAAGGTCGTTCAGGTGAGACTATTGGCTTTGCTCGGTTACAAACCAATCCCAGTGAAGGAAAACATCTGTTCAGGTTGATACAACTTACGAAGAATTCTCGAAATGGGTTACTTCGGCTGAGAAAGGACTTTTGGTAGATCATGGGAACATGAAATTGTGCTATAACTCGCTCGTCGAGAAGGTAAAAAGGGTGTCTCGATTTGAATGTCCAGAATAACCTTCTTTTGTAGGCGGAGTCAAAGGAAAGAGAAGCCGAAAGAGAGGAAGCTAGAAAGAAGCGGCGTCAAGAAAGCGAGTTCCGTCATCTCCTTCGGGCGCAGCAGCCGGCTGTCGATGCCACCACTGAATGGTCAGCCGTACGTGGCAAGATCGAGAAGGAGAAGGCTTTTATGATTGTAAGCATCTTTAATTCGAAAAATGAAACCTATGGTTCATAAGCTTTCATTATGTAGAGCATAATTCCTTTTATTTTCAGTGTCAAAGACAAAGTTATTCTGGCTTTTTCAGATTGAATCGGAAGAGCTTCGCATCAAATACTTTGAAGAGTACAAAAAATCCCTCAGCGAAGCTTGCACTCATCATCACTCGGTGTCCAAGAAAAAGAAGAAAGACAAGAAGAAGAAAGGAAAGAAAAGCGATGTAAGGGAGCTTTGAAATTTTATCGATAAGATCTGCTGATGCCACATGTTTAGAAGGAGTCAGACAGTGAAAGCGAGCCAAAAGAAAAGAAAAAGCGAAAGAAGCATTCAAAAGAGGAAAGAGACAGTGATGATGAGAAAGGTATGGTTTGTAAGTGTTAGATGCCATTAGTACGAGCATACTTGCAGCTCGTCGTAAATCTCACAAACGTAAGCGATCGCGATCACGTTCAAGTTCACGCAGTGGGGATGAAAAGAAACGAAGGGTAAGTTTGTTTGGTGCATTTTCAAAATTGCCCATTTTTTTCAAGCCGAAACTTGTGTAATCAAATTGAAGAAATTTATATAACAGCGATCAAACTCGGGTGCATGTTCTCACAAATCTCTTCCTTAAAATTAAAATTGATTTCTACTGAACCGCTTTTGATTCATTTTTCATACGCTTCCTGCTCTTTCGCTAAAGATTCTGATATTTTGTGTTCATTTTCAATTACAGTACTAATCATTATATTCAGTTATAGTATTTACCTCTAATTCAAGATCAAATAACCTCTGATTCAACAAGATAAGCGGCTGGAGGGCGGGGCTGCGACGATTAGAGAGCACGTAAACGTGAGAGATGCAGACTCTGCATCTCTCGCGTACGTGCTCTCTAAGAATCAAAGCCCGCCCTCAACCGCCTATCTGGTTGAGGGTACTTTCTAGTTGACTTCGAGTTTCTTACTTTGTATTTGTTTATATATTATTTATTTCAGGAAGCTTCCGATTCTGACTGAAGTGGGCCATCACCATGTTATTTATTACATTTTTTTTCTTCAAATGAATAGTCTTGATTGTATGTGGGCATTAGATCTCGTTAAAGTTAAAGTTGACTAAAGCATATTTAATCGTGTTTCTTACTGTATGTGTTGTTGTAGTAATTTGTCGTGCATTTTTTGTGAGAATAAATCTGGTCTTGTAATGGTTGTCAGAAGACTATTTTGTTATCAGACAAAATATTATCTCGCTCATTGCTCACTCTGTGTCTCAGATTTCTTCCCAGAGGTGCCACCGCTGCATGCCTGTCCTGCCTTCGCTTAGCCTTTGGCGTCTGAGCACTCAAAACTTGGTGCTTCTGCGCCAAAGGCGTTGAAGGTAGATAGCACATGGGCCGGCCGGAGGTACCTACGGGAAGAATCTCTAGGTGGAGACTTACTTCTACGATAAGTGATTGATGATCTATCTGGCATTGCAGATGTCCAAGTCATCGAAAAGCGGGCTTACGGAGCCAAGGAAGGTGAGATTTTGGCTTACGTGAAAATTCATTACTCCGGCAAAGATCTGACGTGGGCTGAACCGAAACAAATGTCTTTTTTCTCTAGCAGAGTGAAGCTTGATTGGAGCCCCTCAAATAATTCACATGAATGCAGCGTCCCCTCAAGCAGGCGGGTAGTGGAATTTTACAACCTTGTGATGGCGGACTCCCAGCTAATCTATCAGTAAAGTTTGAGTTTGGAGCGAAAAAACGGTTTTGGAGAGCCCAAAATCCACTCCGAAAGTCTTCCGGACCCACCCACTTCTTACGTATGATTTGGAGCGGCCGCTGACTCGGAGAGCTTCAAAAAAGCCATTATCGCCATTTTCATGTGCTGAAAAACCCAGATATGGTTACAGCATGGCGAAAAGCGAGGCCACCGAAAAGCGAATTCTTTGTTTTCGGGGAGGGGGGGGG